TGTTCACAGTATCTATAAGATACAAACCAAAGAGTTGTTCATCAGGAGCCCAGATTTCCATCATTATAGGATATAAAAATTTTTCTCTAATGGTTCTCAAAAGAGGACACTGACTTTGCTTTTTAAACTGGGGTATGCTTACCTCTAAGAGTCATGCCAGATACCTGGTGCTACCTAGACCAGATAAGCACAGTTCACCTTTGTGGAATTTTAACTTTATTTGAAAATTTAGATGAAAATACAAATCATTATTTGTAAAATCAACACTGATAGGTATGTAGTAGCAGAAAAAAAATGGTAAGCATTTAAGACAAAATGTGAGTCTACAATTAATTTCTACATGTGCAGTTAGATCCTGTAACTGAGAGATACTGACACATTCTCCTCTATCTCTTGAAGGTTTTAGATACTCTGCTTTTCAAATTTTTCCATTAATTTAAAGACTGGATATATAAGATCGTAATAATAACTATCATTATGATTTTATATAGAGTTTTGTTCTCTCAATGGAGACTGGTGGTCTAATGCTAACAAAAGCAATGCGCTAGGGACCAAAACAATGCAGAATACTACTCAATTCTCTGCTGGTCTGACTTGATTCAAAAATCAATTTTATTAAGGGTTGGAATGCATATATTTTACATAATCCGTCAAGAGTAATATTTATTTCAACAGAAGCTTTATAAGTATTCGACAGCAGAGAGTTCAAGGTTATATCATTTAATAAGTATCTACAGTATATTTTATATTACCAGTTAGTGGTTGATTTATATACATTGATGATTAAATTTTTAGGAAGAAATTTAGGTTAACAGAACCAAAGACATAAAGCATCTGTTCCTAAAAAGAAAGATACACTAGCTCTTCAAGGAAATGAGCTGAAACTTAAGAGAAAGCTCTCTTTAGTGTAAATGATTCTATGGGTAACCATGAGAGACAAAATATCCTTGGAAAACAACTTTGCATCCATTCCAACTTATATAAAAATGGATAATCAAGTTTCCAAAGGATACATCAAGAGCATGGCCATGATAAATTTAAAATGAAAAAAAAAAAAGAACATTTAAGTAAATGCCACTAAACACCTGCTACAGATATGAAATTTTTTTTCAAAAGTCCTTCTAAAGATTAGTTATATTTATATATATATCATGTGACTTCCTGATGGCCCTCTAATGTAAGTTGATTACACAATGTATCTTTAAATAATGAGCAAGCTGGCTCGCTGAATACAGTAGTTACAAAACCTGGCTTTGCCTTGGCATCACTTGAGAAGATTTTCTAAATCACAAATCCTCAGGCCCCACTCCAACACATCCACTAACCAAGAATCTCTGTGGGTGGGTCCCAAGAGACTGTATGCCTAAAATGCTTCCTAACTGATTCTGATGCATCCAGATTTAGGGAACGCTGCAAGCCTGTTCACTATAAACTAGATGAAAGCTGGATGTTCATTACCAAAAATGATAACTCTCTTCTTGCAATAGTTGATGATTAGCCATTCTATCTGACATTAATTAGATAGCACTGCTAACACCACTCCTAATTTGTGACAGTAATACAATGTTCCCAAAACACACAAAAGAGATTATTTTCCTGTTCTCTCTAGTTGGAGAGCCAGAAGGTGTTTATGCCAAACTCACTCAAAAAAAAGTATGGAGTTATTAAATAACCAGTTGAAGAGAGGGAAGCCAGTACACAGCCATGTTTTATCTGCTGCAAATTATCTGACTCATCAGGAGACTTTCTAAGTGCAGGTTATACCTTAAGCTACTGGCCCATACTGAATTCATTTGGTTAGACCTTTAACTGATTCATGTAATTAGAGTCAAAGGCCACAAAAGGATCAATACAAGCTACATACAATTCTATGTTGTTCCTGACAAATTTGTCCCAGAGATGACAAAAACAATAACAGAGCCTAAATCATCATCTACCCCTCTCATAAAATACTGGTCTCAATAACTTCAGCTTAATCATTTATCAAGAAGGAAAGTCTTGCAAGCTTAAAAAAACCCATAAAATTTGCAGACAGTAGAAGTTGCCCACTACTTTTTGCCCACTATTTATTGGGTTGGCCAAAAAGTTCATTCAGGTTTTCATACACTCCTACAGAAAACCCGAACAAACTTTTTGGCCAACCCAGTATTATGATGACACTCTATATTAAGAGGAAGACCAAAACAGAGTCAATAGTGGTTAATAAATTGACACAGGATTTAAATACACTTACAAAACAGAACATTAATGTTTTCAGCCATAGATCTGTGGAAGTAAAGGTATAGCTGATAGAAATTGAGAGGTATGATGGAAAGGTGAAGTGGAGAGAACAGAGGGACACTAATAGTCTCATCAAATAGTTGGGGGGGTGAGTGGTTAACAGATGCTCTCTAAAGTTCGAAGGAACAAGAAATAGAGCTTTTCATTTAACACTTTACTTTTTACGGCAGTTTTAGGTTCAAAGAAAATTGAGAGGAAGGTACAGGGATATCCCATAAACCTGTTGCCCCCATACAACCACAGTCTCCTCCATTATCAAGATCCTCCCACCAGAGTGGTATATTTGTTATAACTGACGACCCTACACTGACATTTCATAATCACCCAAAGTCCATAGTTTACATTAAGGTTCACTCTTAGTGTTGCATCCTATGAGTTTGGACAAATGTATAATGACATGCATCCATCATTATGCTATCATACAAAGCATTTTCAATGCCCTAAAAATCCTCCACCCTCTGCATATTCATCCCTCCCCTGCCATCTTCCCCACATCCCTGGCAACCACTGATCTTTTTACCGTCTCCATAGTTTTGCCTTTTCCAGAATGTTGGAGACATACACTATGTAGCCTTTTTAGCTTGGCTTCTTTCACTTAGTAATAAGCATTTAAGGTTCTTCCATGTCTTTTCATGGTTTGATAGCTCATTTCTTTTTAGTCCTGAAAAATATCGCATTTTCTGGATTTACTACAGTTTATTTATCCATTCACCTACTGAAGGACATTTGGTTGCCTCCAGCTTTCGGCATTTATGAATAAAGATGCTGTAATCATCTGTGTGCAGGTTTTTGAGTGGACATAAGTTTTCAGCTCCTTTGGGTAAATACCAAGGTGTGTGACTGCTGGATCATGTGGTTAGAGTATGTTTAGTATTTTAAGAAACTGCCAAACAGTCTTCCAGAAGGGCTGTACAATTTTGCATCATCACCAGCAAGGAGAGAGAGTTCCTTTTGTTCCACATCCTTACCAGCGTTTGTTGTTGACAGTGTTCCGGATCTGGCCATTCTAATAGGTTTGTATTGGTATCTCACTGTTGTTTTAATTTGAATTTTAGGAGCTTTATAGAAGTATATTTTACACTTTTGCATTTTACATTTAGGTCTGTGATTCATTTTGAGTTAACTTTTGTAAAGGGTGAAGGTCTGTGTAGAGATTCATTTTTCTGCATGTCGATGTTAGTCATTCCAGCACGATTTGTTGAAAAGACTATCTTTGCTCCATTGAATTAATTGCCTTTGTTCTTTTGTCAAACTCATTCTAAAATTTACATGGGGAGGCAAAAGACCCAGAATAGCTGACACAATATTGAAGAAGAACAAAGATGGAGGACTGTCATGACCCAATTTCAAGACTTACTATAAAGCTAAAGTAGTCAAGAAAGTGTGGTATCGGAAAAAGAATAACAAATAGATCAATGGAACAGAATAGAGAACCCAGAAATAGACCCCCATAAATACAGTCAACTGATGGTGTTGTTGAGTTTAACCGTATCCTTACTAATTTTCTATCTGCTGGATCCGTCCATTTCTGGGAAAGGATTGTTGAAGTCTACAACTATGATAATGTAGTCATCTATTTCTCCTTGCAGTTCTATTGGTTTTTGCCTGACATAATTTGATGCTCTGTTGTTAGATGCATACATGTTCAGGATTGTTATGTTTTCTTGGTGAACTGACCCCTTTATCATTATGTAATGCCTTTCTTTATCCCTGATAATTTTCCTTGCTTTGAAATTTACTTTGTCTGAAATTAACATACCTACTCCTACTTTCTTTTGATTAGTGCTAGTATGGTGTACATTTCTCCATCCATTTACTTTTAGTCTATATGCATCTTTATATTTAAAGTGGTTTTATTGTAGACAATACATAGTTGGGTCTTGTTTTTTTGGATCCACTTTAACAATCACTGTCTTCTAATTGGTGCATTTAGAACACTGATGTTCAAAGTAATTATTGATGTAATTGGATTAATATCTACCATATTTGTTGCTGTTTTCTATTTGTGGCCCTTGTTCTTTGCTCCTATTTTCGTCTCCTACTTTTGTTTTTCTGTCTTTTGTGGTTTTAATCAAATATTTTATATAATTCTATTTTCTTTCCTTTCTTAGCATATCAATTATACTTTTTTTTTTTTTTTTTTTTTTTGCGGTATGTGGGCCTCTCACTGTTGTGGCCTCTCTCCCATTGCGGAGCACAGGCTCCGGACACGCAGGCTCAGTGGCCATGGCTCACGGGCCCAGCCGCTCCACAGCATGTGGGATCTTCCCGGACTGGGACACGAACCCGCGTCCCCTGCATCGGCAGGCAGACTCTCAACCACTGCGCCACCAGGGAAGCCCTCAATTATACTTTTTTAAAAAAACTTTTTTTAGTGGTTGCTCTAGAGTTTGCAATACTCATTTACAACTAATCCAAGGCCACTTTCAAATAATATCATATTGCTTCACAAGTGTGTGAGTACCTTATAATAACAAAATAATCCTAATTCCTCCTTCCTGGCCTTGTGTCACTGCTGTCATTTATTTCACTGACATATAAGCATACATAAGCATTTTTCTCCAACATCTACCAAAAGAATCTGGTTGAGCTCCAAGAGGTAAAACTCACAAAAGTATAGGAGCCCTCCATTAGACTGGGTCCCTTGGGAATTTTTAACTCTCAGAGTTGTCTGCACTGAGCCTCCAGCAATTCATCAATTACAGTTCAAGTTTTCCTACCTTGGCACTGGTTCCCCTGGCAGTTTCCACTCGTGAGTCTCTGCTATGGGAAGCCATGACTCCTTGTGTTGGTCTGTCTATCTCTCCAACCCCAGGGGCAGACGTTTGGCCTTTGTCCTCCCCTCTCGTATGGATCCACAAGAGTAGTTGGCTTCTCAGACTGTTCAGCTTTTTACTCGTTGTTAGGATGGAGTGGCAACTTCCAAGAACCTTACATGTGGGACCAGAAACTGAAAGTACAGAAATAGAGTTTTAACATTACAAAAGTAGTTAACAGACAAATAAAAGCCTATAGTAACTATTAAAATGGAGAGGATTTTATTGAAATAAATCTTCAACTTTCAAAATGCTGAATCAATAGGTAAACAGACTCTTATATTGACATCAATAAATAAATTATGTCTAATATTTAGTTGCTTGGTAATAACTGGCATAAAAGTTAAAAAGAGATATTTTTATGGTAGGAAGAACAAGGAGCAGTGTAAGCTGGTGAACTGAGTGGGATGGTGGACAGTTACTCTTCATTATAATCTCTTCTGCACTGTTTGATCCTTTTAAACTTTATGCATGCATTACTGTGAAAAAAAATATTAAAAGGGGAAAGAGAAAGAGAACTGAATTCTATATATTTTAAGCTTGATTTTGGTTTCTATAGCTGGCAAAAATAAACCTGACATATATCAATTCAAAATCAGGTTTCAATGATCTTTCTTGTAAATTTCAGGAAACTGAGTCCTAAAATATTCCAACTCAAGCTGCAATTTCAAAATTGGATTTATTTGTTTTTGAGAATATAATGTTTATAATATTTTAGCTTCATGAGCTCCCACATGGCTTTTTTAGAATTTCATTTTCCACATTTCATCTCTAATTACTAGGATTTTCTTTTGATTGTTGAAATTCCTGTTCAGAAAAACAGAAAGGCAAAGCTGTGATTTTGTGATGATCCTCCTATACAAGCAGAATCATCTAGACAAGAGCAAAAATGAATAACCTAGGTGGAAAGGTATGTCCCTATTGGGGAAGAAATTCTTTGATTTGATTCCTGAATTTCCTAAATAGTAATTTAGGAAATTACTAAATTACGTAATTTTGTAGCACGTTATTTTGGATGATGCCTCAGCACCTATTGGAATCCCTTTTAATGAGGTTTTGTGAATAGATGTTATAAAGCCATACTTAGTGGATTTTGTAAAATCCAAGACATTTTATTACATTTTCCCAGATGTGCTCAGTTTCTCTGTGACCAGACTGTTCTTATGAATTCTCTTAAAACTTAAAGGTAACTTATAGCATCAGAAACAAGTGATTCAGGCATATGCTTAATTGCACCCTACTAACCTTACCCTTTCATCTCTGAATGATTTTATAACTGTTCTTATGAATTCTCTTAAAACTTACAGGTAACTTATAGCAACAGAAACAAGTGATTCAGGCATATGCTTAATTGCACCCTACTAACCTTACTCTTTCATCTCTGAATGATTTTATATTTCAGTGACAGTAGAAAAAGAGAGTTGGGGAAAATTATGTTACCAAAACTTAGGGAAAAAAAGAAAAAGAAAAAGAAAAAGAAAACCTGAAGGAACCTTAAATGCATGCTAAGTGAAAGAAGCCAATCTGGAAAGATTACATACTGTATGACTCCATCTATATGACATTCTGGAAATGGCAAAACTATAGACACAGTAAAAAAGATCAGTGGTGGTCAGGGGTTGGTGGGGGGAAGGGAGGGATAAACAGGGAGAGCACAGAGGATTTTTAGGGGAGTGAATCTATGTACATAGACATGATACTACAATAGTGGATACATGTCATTATATATCAGGCCAAATCCATGGAACATACAACACCAAGAGTGAATCCTAAAGTAAACTATGGACTTTGAGGGATAATGAGTTCTCAATGTAGGTCCAACAATTGTGATAGATGTACCACTGTCATTCGGGATGTCCATAGTGGAGGAAGCTGTGCATGTGTGAGGAACATACAGAAACTCTGTACTTTCTGGTCAATTTTGCTGATAACCTAAAATGCTTAAAAAATAAAGCTTATTAATTTAAAAAAAGCAAGTTGTGATACAAGTTACTGTTAACATTTTAAAATTAAAGGAAAGAGTTGAATGTAAAACATCACAGAAATATTTTTTTCCTTACTTAAATTTCCAACCACTCTTTCCCTAAATGACACAATTGTAAGATTGTGTAATTGCCACTAGCTGGCCTATAGGATGCATTCTTGATACTCATTCTTCTTATTGAAAATTTAATATTTATTATTTATCATTCTACTTGACTTAACACTACAAGTATTAGTTTTGATAGTAAGTACAAGTAGGTAATTACATGTGCAAATGGAGTGTTTCTCAGTGATCAGAAAAGGAGGAAATGGGATTCTGCTTTAACCATTAAGTGAGACCTCCCCTAATACACTGACATGCTGGCGCTTGGTTTCTTTCTTAAGTAGAATCACTGGGATAGACACAAATATTTTATTCCTAAGGTTATTGCTATGCTAAACTTTAAAACTTCTATAATTTTTTTCACAATTCTCTATACAAAATTCCTCCCTTGAATGAAAAAGGAATTGCTTTTGGGAGCCTGCTATCAACCAATGCTTTACAAATAAGCTGAAGGGCCAGAAACTTGACTGGGGATGGTCCCGCTTCCTTGTTCCAAATACGTTAAAGCTAATGAAAGATGTGGCCAGAGCAAGAGTAGGCAGACAGATTTTTCTCCATATATCCCTACTCTGTGAATTGTCAGACTACCAGACTGTGTCTGTGAAGACATAAGCGGGAGAGAAAGTATATCTTGGGTTGTCAAACTGCTAAAAGTGTAGTTGTGGTAATCAAGAGAATCACAAGAAATGGAGAGTTGAAGGTCAGGGTTTTGTATAGAACAAAAGTTAGGAATAAGTGTGGACACTGTGGGAAAACAGTCAGGAAGAGGAGAGTTTTTCTCCCTGCCACAAACTGAAGCAATGTCATTGTGTTTTGCTGCCCCAGGCAGAAAGTCTGTGTAGCCAAAGGATCCTGTTACCTTTTAGGTAGAAAAGTATGTCACCGTTGGACAGTTTTTACTAATTTAACATGTTATAGCAAAGCCCATATAAAACATTTCCTAAATCTTTATTTATTTCAAGACTAGTCAAATCTATAAACCTATGTTTTGTACCTCACATAACACACTTTCTTCCTCAAATATTTCCCGTCTTGGTTCTTTGGAAATTACAATGAGGGGGCTTCATATGATGTTATTTTGCCTTTACTGAGGAATTAATTTCATGCATGAAGGGGCTATGCAATATCCCAGAAGGACAGGTCATCACTAATAGTGCAGCTCTGAATCCTGTAGCAGTGGAAAAGGATAAGAGACTCACTGAAGTTTTCTGGCTTGGGGTTGTTGCTTTCTAACTAGAGACTGAGATGAAAGTAAGGATGTTGAGCCCACTAGTGTCACTCATCTTTAAGCTCTCAACTTGTTGATAAAATGTTTTATGGGAAAATGAGTAGGCATGGGAGTGAACTTGGGTTACCATACTTGTGCATTTCATACCTATATGGTAAAAATGTCTTTGTCATCTCCTGGAAAGAAAGAAAATTGACAGAGACAGATGGAAGCTTTGCCTTCTTTCTCTGAGGAAGCGAATTAATACAATTAAAATGAGCGATGTGTTTACATGGACTGACTTGCTAATTAGGCCAGCCTTGATATTTTAATTGTAGTATATTTAAAATACTAATATATTTAAAATACAGATAAATATTTATAAAGGTTCAATATTAAAGGGGAAAAATCAACTGGGTTGATAAAAGTGGGAAGGAAGAGGGTCTTCACTAGGTTTCTAAATATAGTAGACATTCATTTGAAAACACAGCTATAGCTTAATTTAATAAAGGACAAACACTAAAATTTACTAAAACAGAAATACAGAACAAAGAGCCCTAACAACATGAGAGAATTCAATCCATCACATAACAGTAACTGAAATAAAGCACTGTCTTCTTTATATAGACAATGCTTTATGGTCTGCTTTAATATAGAAAATAAGGTTTACTGATCACAATAATAAGTCCTACTTATTAATGAAAAATAAAATTTTAAGAAATGAATTCTAGCTTCTTAAAGTGGTATCTTAAAGGGTAGCATATAACAATTCAAGTCTATTTCAAGTGTCATAAATTTGTGTATAAAATAAAACATGTAAAACGTCCTTCTGCACAAATGGGAACATTAAAGATAAATGTCTTGGGTATTTACATAATCTCTTCAAATTTACAAACTACAGTATTAGGTGTAAACTATAAAGCCTTAAAATATCGAAGTTAGAGGAACTGATTGGCTTTGATTTCTTCTTGAGATTTCTTCTTTTACTTTGCTAAGCTAGATACAGGTACCTGGGTCCTCAATCCCATTGACATCTAGATTTTTTAAAATAGTCGTTTACAGCTGAATCTTCTCATTTATTAACTACCTGAATATAGAATAGATATTTTGTTTAATATAAGTATATTCTACCATGTCTGATGTTGCAGGGGAAAATACAACTGTGAATTAAAAATTAAACGAAACTGAAGTGTAATTCCATAAGAACATATTTCCAAATCAGTTTAACTTACTTCCATTAAGAAATATTAAACCCTCTTCATGAATTTCTAAAAAAGTGTATATTTATGTATTGATAGGTGGATTATATCTTTAATTTGTACATAAAAGAAGTTACTTCACTGAAAGTGATGACCATAAATAAGTTTTTAACATACAAATATGTTGCAATAAGCTCTTTCTCCATTACCTATTTAGTAAGCAATAAAATCGTCTAATGCATTTGGGTTTATATATTTGTTTTTCTACTTATGAAGACGAAAGGCACCAGTACCAGTGATTAAATGAGCTTGGTACAGAAAAGTAATTTGTAGGTATATCAAATAAGTAAAATATTGTTTACAAAAGTAGTATGGCTGTGAATAGAATTCTTTTCAATAAGCTACTGGTAGAATTTTCTTCCTCTTTTAGGTTATTAATTTATTATTTCATATCAGGAGTAAAGATGTTCCCAATCCATTTTCCCTCTTATTTTTCACAATCTCCCAAATGAAATAGTTGTAATAAAACAGAACTCAGTATTTCTATTTCTCCTGTAATAGCGTTCTTGGAGGAAGTGGATAGATCTTAAATTTATGTTGATAATGAAGGTCTCATATGTCTACAAATATACTAGAAAGCCA